GGCAGCAGCTCAGCCATGGCATAGGAGAGCTGAAACGCTCAAAGCTGGTGACAGGGAAATGGCAGGGGACAGCACGATCCTGTTTACAGGGTTTAGAGACCGAGAAATAGGAGACTGGGTTTAACTCCGAGGTCCACGACTTTTCGTCTTTTGTGATCATAGAGTATATTTAGCTTTGGTATGTAGCTTGCTCCCATCTGTGGGGAACAAGCTCTTCATGTAAGTCATATTTAGAAGTGACCCGGTGTCCTTGCTACCAAATTATCAGCACAACAACTGTCTCGTTCCCTCGCTGGTGTCCTCAGCTCAGAGGCAGGCCAGCCAGAGCTGCATTTATCATTCGAATCACTGGGCATGTGTTTAACACTACAGAGTTAGGGACCAGGATGCCAACAGCTGCGCAAAGGAAAGATGAGATCAAGAACAAGCTGGACTGCTCTGAAAATCCTGGTGCGTGCACGAATCCTCCGCACTGGGACCACGTGGGACCAGCCAGAACAGAACGGGAGAACTCTGCTCCCCAGCTCCTGCAACGAGGGAAAAGCACCGAGGTCTCGGCTGCCAGGGCGGCTGCTCTCGTGGTGGGAGGGATGAGGAGCAAATCCACCCAAGGCAATGGAATCATGCAGAAAAGACGGCACAACTTGAGTGGTGTGCTGTAAAGACAAAGCTAGAGCCAGCTCAGCCTGGCTCTCATCACACCCAGGTCCTGCACTGGAATCCCTCACCCACACTCTATCCCCTGCAAAAGGTCTACCACTGCCTTGAGCTTGGCACGACGACGAGGTAGCCAAGTGTAAGGTCCGTATAGCAGACCGTGCTCTCCTTTTGTATCGTTCCACAGGCCTACACTAGATGCAGGACACGAGCACATCATGCCCAAAAGCAAAAGGAATCACGTACCAAAGCCCTTGGGACTGACACCAGCATTTGCCACCTTGAAGTAGATGCTCAGGAAAATCTGCAAAGCCATCCAATCTTATGGATACATGCCTACTCTTAAAAAAAAAAAAAAAATTTAAAGGAGCTCTTTCTGACTGGCAAACATTTGGTCTCAGTAGCAGTAGCCGTGCCCGAGAACTAGCAGCTGAAGCCGTTTGGAAAATGGATTTGAATGTTTCTTAGGAAATCCCCCCCAAAAGCTTTCATGTTGTTGGCAGAGGATAACCAACAGGTGCCGGGAGCGCCGTCCCCACGGGGGCCGAGCGGGCTGGGGTTCGGCTGCCGGCCGGCTTTGGGTAAGGGATGCCCCAGGGAGGCAGGCACAGGGGACACCGGCTGAGCAGGGCTGAGCAGGGCCAGGCCAGCGTGTGCCGCTTTATAAGCATAACCACAGAAACGATGAAAGTGTGTTTCCTTTTATTTTTAACCCAATAGAGAAGTTTTAAGGATAAACAGCTGCGAGAGAGGGTGGGCTGACACAAAGAGGGACTTTCTTCACTTCCTAACTGCAGCAGCATCAATGCGTGAAATTTCAAACTCAAAAAGAGATTTAACTCTTTCCAATGCTGCCTGAGACCAAGTGTGGGCCAGAGTCACGGGGGCCACCAAAATAAGCAACTACTGATGGATGGGCAGTGGGGTCTCTGGAGCAGCAACATCCCATGCGCAGATATGGAAAGAGCTGGATCCTACTGCAAGAGACAGCGAGATGTTTCCAACAGCTCAGTCACTGGTAGATCTCCCACACAGATAGCTCCTTCGCTGAGGCACCGCCACAGGAATGCATCTGCCATACGCTGCTCCGTCCAGAGCAGCGAGCACGGCTGGGAAGAGGAGAACCAGGGAATCCCCGTTCCCTGCACAGCCTCAAGCCTGTCTCGAGAGCTGGCATCCCAGAGGAGGGGGCCAAGACGGGGGCACCAAGCAGCTCTGCCACATCGCCACGTGCTCCTGGCCAAGTGGTCTACACAGTTGCGCCTAGCAGCTTCCAAGAAGTCTCAGGTGTTTCTCGAAATTTCTTAAAAAGGGACAGTGCTGCAGTCAGAGAGAGCTCCACTGGGGGAGAGGGGGTCTCCCCACTCTCTGGTCATGTACACCCAGCTCGGTGCTGGCCGGTAGCTGCTGGGACAGGCTGTGGCATTGCCAGCTGCCTCCAAGCAAGGTGTCTGTAAGCTGCAGGGCTGAGCCCCCAGGCCTAACGCTGCTTCCCCAAACTCGGGAGCCACTGAGTCACCCTGACACGGCACATCCTTTGGCCTCCCATCGCTGTGAAGATCTCCGGTTACGAAAAATCTAGAGACTGCTCTTCAAAACAGGATTTACTACCGACTCCGCGCTGTCTGCCCGGCGAGTGCCTGCCCCACCAGGACGGCAGGAGGAAGGACAGAGGCTCCTCATGGTTTCTCTTTCTGTTCCGCATACCCCCGGCAATATTTACAGCTGCATTGGGGTGCCTGGGGCTGGGGGGGGGAAGCCTTCAGTTTATAAATAATCCTCGCTGATGTTTGAGTAATTTTCATAGTTTCCATTCAATTCAGGTTTCACCAAAACCAGCGTTTTGTGGCTCGATAGCGGGAAGATGAGTGATTGGCTTGCTCTTACTGCACTGCCTAGCAGTTAACAGGTTCTTCATTCATTTCTTCCTCGTCAAGTCCAGCTCGTGTACCTCGTACCCCATATCCTGTAACAATCATCTTTTGGAAAGCGCAGGCCAGCCCCTGGGCACAAACACTTTGCAGGGGCAGGAACTGCAGGAGGGAGAACCTGTGACGTCCTGCTCCACCAGCAGAGCAGGAGAGCCACCGAGCTCCACACAGGGCAGGGCAGGATCCGCTCCACACCACGCCGAGCAAACCAACAACAGCAACTTGATGAAGCTTCCAGAGACAGACAGATCCCAAAAAACTCCTCGTCTATCCTCAAATCCCACAGAAGGCCAAGGAAATCGTGGGTTCAAGGGAATGCAAGCGTGGAGCCTGGCAGGCTCTTAATTTTGTTGGTCTACTGAGGAGACAAAGAGGGAGCTGGCAGCCAAGCCCGGTTGCTTGACTGAGCACCTGATGCTCTGCTCAGAAGCCACAGAGCAGCCCCAGTCCGTGGTGCTCAGGTAAAGGGCTTCCCATTTTGCCAAACTCCCATTTTCAGTCATTCTGCTCCAGCAATGACTCAATGCAATGAAATTCTTGTTTACTGATGCTTGCAAATAATGATATATAATCCCCTCGCTCCAACCCTCCAGTCTCCTGGTTCTTGTCTCTTGGCAACTGATAAATAATTTATGGCGCTCTCTGCATGTGCTAACTGCAGCTCTGCTGGTTTAATGATGAAACCAATGCCTAAGAACTGGAACAGTAACTGTCTAGATCACAAGGAACGTGTCGTCAGTCGATCCCACACTCCTCTCTACGCAAAACTAAAAGCAAACTGTTCAAAAAGAAAAAAAAAAAACCCTACATTTTCCAGAGCTGCAGGGCTGCGGCTGCTGGGTAGGAACGGCACCCACAGGAACAGCAGATTATCTGCAGGAGGAGCGGGCGTGCGCCGGCAACTCCTGCCAACACGAGGAGTTTAACGTGCTTCACCCTTTTGTTCTCCTCTGGTAGCGCCTGTGGAAAAAAACTCCTAACACAGACTGGTTTTATCGTCAACTTCTCTCGTGCCCTCCCGTGCAATTTGGAAAGCCTCTGGGGTTCACATCTCGAATGCACCGCTGCTCTGGGGGGTAAGAAAGCTCTTGTAGCTCCCGTGCAAGGAGAGCTGTTAAAAAGGAGCATCTTGTCTACGTAGACGACTGTGGCTCTTGCACCAAAAAACAAAAAAAAAAAACCAACCCAAAAAAAAAGGGACTCTTCATTTCATGACAGATGTTCTTCGAGTCTTTCCAACAGAGCCGTAACCGCTTATGAAAACCGGCGTGTTTGAACCGTACACAGCACACGTACACTGGGCGTGCACTATTGTGGCAACACAGTCTCTTACATCCATAAACTCGCTGGAATGAGATTACCCAGGCAGTTGGCAACTGCATCCATGAGGGCAGAGGAGCGAAAGTTTCTGTTTTGTTGTTAGGAGATTATTTTTTTCTTTAAAAAAAAAAAAACACAAAACAAAACCAAGTAAACCCACCCCAAAAAAAAACCATGAGCAGAGAGCAGGAAAGGGATGAAGTATTTCTGTTGACAAAGGCCAAAATCCCATCTATTTATATTAGAGTCACACAAAAACCACAACAGAGCAGTGCTCAAAAGATTTAAAAAATGCACCTACTTTCTTAATGCTCTTAGAAAATAATAATAAAAAACCCTATCAATATTCACTTTCTGAAACGGTGTAAAAAAAGAACTGCATCAATCATTAAACAGTTAAATGAAGGCAGTATGACAGTCACTATTGTTCTCGTGAAGCACACTTGTCTTTTGCCGAGCAGCTGCCAGATCCTATTAGATGTATAAAAAGAGGACTTTTCTAACCGAGCAGGGATGGTATAAGCTATTGAAAACAGCAGACAAAAGCCCACTTTTGCAGACTATTCAAGCCTTGTATAACATCTGTCCAAAATCAATTTTTGACCTAATGTTACTTTCATTAAGTAACAGACTTTGTTTCCAATGCAATTTGTTTTCTAGAATAAAACTGTATCCTATGCATGATTATGTGGGAAACGGCACAGAGGAAGCAGAAGATCTTATTTGAGAAACATGAGAACAGAATTTGCTTAATTGTTTTGACACCTTAAGTACTATAATAGAGAAACTATTTTCCATTTATTTGAATTCTTGTGAATTCTTGAAGCTGGCAAAGCAGCAAGCAATGCACTGGGTTTATTATGACTAAGATTTACTGAGGATAAAGGAGGATCTTTGGGAATTACATTAAAGCTGACAAATGCACAAAACTTCTGAAACCTTCACCAGAAATAAAGTATTCTAAACACTAACAACAGCTGTTGAAACTGTCCACTCTTGACCGCTGAGGCTTTTTTCATGCATTTTAAATAATGAGGAAGTTGATTCACGAATTCGATTTCAAAGAGACTGTTAAGAAACATCTCCACTTACCCGAAGGGTCTCTGAATGAAGGCTGGATGTAGCTGCTGCACACCTATGGTAAAACCTAAAAGGCGTTCAGAAAAAAGAAATATTAATGAATGTCAGCCATTGTAATATTCATCTTGTAATATACATGGATAATTACACCTCAGACCGCACATACATGAAATTTCATCTGCTATGCATGTGAGCAAATTCAAAGCCCCATTTAGAAGCAAGTTAATTTTAATATGCGTCTGTGATATGCACGAGGAGCAGATGGGAATTCAGACTAAAGAACAGTGTGAAAGTGCTGTTATTGAAGAGGCAATGGGGTATAATGCCTTATTTTACACACCGGGCACTGTGGTCATTAAACCACGGGGCAGAATGATGAAATGGACCTTACTGTTAACACCGATGTAACAAAAAGAATAACAGGAAGAAAGATGAACCACAGAAGAAAATGGCTTTAATATAAGTTATGCAAACTTAAGATGCCTAACGCTGGTGTAACAGGTAGGAGTGAGAAGACTGGGCAGAGGTAACTGGGCAACAGTGTCCTCAGCCAACAATGAGCACTGTGAGGGATAAGCACACATCATCAGATCAGGTGAATCCAGCCCCAGTAACTGGCTTCCTCGTCTTGCAAGTTATTCTAATAGAGAGAGACGGGATCTCCGGGATGCCTCACCAGTTTGAATACTCCTTGGTTTTGCTCCCAAATACGCCAGGTTGACATTTGCTTTCCTGCCATCGATGATGGGGTTGGGGTCTTTGCACGCCCTTTCAGCCGCAGCTCTGTCTGCCATGGTCACCTGGAACCCAGCACAGCCTTGTTTGTAGCAACGGCCCTTCGTAAACACTCCAGCCACGGGCACTAAAGCGGAGTTTATTTATCATTCTATTTTGAATCCGGAGCTAAACTCCGCTTGGTGCCCAGCGAGACGGGGACGGGAGAAGAGAGAGAGGGCTCCCCCCTCGCCAAGGGACTCCTCTGGGCTACCGCCAGCCGCTCACCCTCGCCCTCCCACCTCCTTCCCGAGGGCTTTTTTAGGGGGTCGGTGGAGCCGGTCCCCAAACTCCCCGCAGCAGCGGAGCCCCAGGGGATGCGGAGCCCCAGGGCATCGCGGAAACCCGCAAACCAACCGGGCGGGGGGAGCGGAGGAAGGAGATACTGAAACGCAGGGCACGACCCCGGCCGGCACCGGGGGATGGGGGGGGCGTCTTTCCTGCCGGGACCCCCGCCGCCAGCCCCCTTCCCGGGGCGGGTCGAGGTGGGGGTTGAGACCAGCCCCCGCCGCCCATCACCGCGTCGGTGGGAAAGCGGGGCCGGGGGCCACAGACACACACACACACACACAGAGCGGCACTTACGAAGCCGTATCCCCGGGATTTGCCCGTCTGCCGGTCGGTGATCACCACCGCCTCCTCGATGTCCCCGAAGACCTCGAAGTACTTCCTGAGGGAGGAGTCGGTGGTGTGGTAGGGCAGCCCCCCGACGAAGATCTTGGTGAAGGTGGTGTCCTTCTGCACGGTGTGCATGGTGGCCGGGCGCGGCCGGACCCCGCCGGCATCCACCCCGCGACGGCAACAAACACCCCCCCGAACGCCCCCCCGGCTCCGAGCCCCGGCCGAAGGCAGCGGAGCAGGCGGCTGAGCTCCCGGGGTTGGGGGGGGGGGCACCCTCACAGCCGGCTCATGGCCGCGCTTTGTGCCGGGAGCGCGGGCGGCGGCGC